AAGTCTTGGGGTCTTGCAACCACTTTCAACCCCCTTTTGAAATTAATTTTGGTAACAAAATCTGTACCTCTTAATAACATACTTATGTGGACACTTCTTTTTTATTATTTATTTAAAAATATTTTATTTTTTGCAGAGAGGAAGGGGGAGGGAGAGAGAGAATTAGAAACATCAATGAGAGAGAAACATCGATCAGCTGCCTCTTGCACTTGTGCCTGCAACCAAGGTACATGCCCTTGACCGGAATCAAACCTGGGACCCTTGAGTGTGCAGTCCGACACTCTCTCCACCAAGCCAAACCAGCTAGGGCTATTTTATTTTATTTTATTTTATTTTATTTATTTATTTATTTTAGTTTTAGGCATTATCTATTAACTTTTCTCTTTAGAAGATTAGGATTTAGTTTTATTTCACTTCTATCCTCCATACCTATAGTCACAATGCCTCTCCATTCATCCTTCCATTATTGTTATGTTATTCCTTTGGTTAGATCAACATACAGTGTGGCTTTATTATAGCTATTATACAAGGTTATTTGAACTGAACCATTTGTTATACAATCTTTGCTTTTCTTGTGTTGCCCAACTTTTTGTGTCCCCTAAAGTTAATAAAATTTGTTTCATTCTCTTTGTTTTTGTTTCCCCCCCCTGTATTCATCATTGTTTATCCCATACTCTCCTCACACTATAGAATATTATTTCAATCCATTAAAACACAGGTATTTATTAGTTTTATCTTCTTTGAGTCATCAGACCTGCACCATTGGCAGCTTGTTATCTTCAACCACCATGGTCCTTGGAGATTCCCTTTGCCTCACTCCTTCCTGGATACTCTGTTTTCTTCTTTTCTGCTTCATACACTTGCTTTAGTACAATACCTCCTACTCTCAAGTAGTTTTCTGAGAAAGGGTGCAGAGTAGTGAGTTTTTGAGACCTTGCCTGTCTCAAAAGGTCTTTAGCCAACATGTACATTCAACGAATAATTTGGCTGACTATAGAATACTAAGTTGGAAATGATTTTCCCTCAGAATTTTGGAAATAGTAATCTCTATTGTCTTCTAGGGTCCTTATCTTTTATATATGATCTTGTTTGTTTGTTTTTCTAATTTTTGGAAGCTTTTAGGTTTTTTTCATTGCCCCTAGTGTTCTAAATTTTTTTTTTAATAATGTGCCTGCTTATTTGTTTTTATGTGTTGTCTGGGCAATCAATACTACATCTTCTCAATCTGGAAACTTTGTTTCCTAAATTGTTTGTTGATAATTTTCTCCTATTTCCATATCTTCTATCTCTGGAACTTCTATTTGAACATTAGACTTTCCATACAGATCCTCCAATTGTCTTGCTTGCTTTTGATCTCTTTTACTTTACCTCCACTTATCTTTATCCATTTTTCTAATGAATTTTTAATGTATATAATTATAGTTTTAACTTCCCCAAACTCTTTTTACTATTTTCTAGGTGTTTTTTTTAAAGACTCCCTCCCCCCCCCCTTTTTTTTTTATGTAGCCAATATCTCCTTTTATATCTCTATGAGGATAGTTAAGATTTTTTTTTATCTTCCTTTTTCATATGAAAGGTTTTCTTTGGAAATAAAATGGGCTGAATGCTGCTATTTATTAGTAGGGCTATCAAAAGCTAATTGGTAACTCTGAACATGTGGATGGACCTTTAAGAATGAAAGCCGCACAGTAGGTTAATTCTGATGGTTTTACTGCATAAAGGGTATTAGCTTGGTTGCCAGATTCTGCAAACTTAAAACAGGCAATACTAAAACTTTTGAGCATTCTGTGGAAAAACTCAGGTTATATCTCAGGTTCCTCTCCTGCTGGCTTAAATGTTCTAGGACATACTGAACTTCCCTGCTTCCTAAATTCTGTTCCTATAATTCTGTCTTTCTCTTTGTCCCTGTGAATTAATGCTTTTAAAAAAATTCATCTGTCACATATGGGAGTTAGGGAGAACAGATACATGAGTGTATTTTGAACTTTAATATTCACTGGAAGTTCCAATATTTTCCAAGACTGTCAGGAAATTTTAAATTTTGGAAATGTATTTAATATACTAATAATGAAATCAGTATTCACAAAATCTTAAGTTAGATTTAGTGCTGCATGACCTCTTCAACTAGAATGTAATATCAACTCTTAAGTCTATGTCTGTGCTTTTGCTTTCTCCTACTGAATCTAGCTCGCATGATGCTCAGGACATATTGGATGATGAAATATATGCTTGCTGAATATGTGAATACATGGATAAGAATTATTTTATGATCAGATTTATGTGAAGGAAAGAAGTACACACTACAGTTATTTCCTTTTTTAAAACATTGGGCACTGCATTATATTTCTCAGATACCTTTTCTGTTTCTCTTTGAAAATCATCCTTAATTATATTACTCTTTCAATAGCAATTTTCTTGATTTTTATAAACTAGATAAAATATTATTTAAACCTTTGAAATAATGAAGCTAAAAGTAAGGTATCCCATGCCACTATAATGGAATGGTTAAGGACATGGGTTCTGACCCTATCACTTATTTGTGTGACTCTGGGCAAGTTTTTAATATCTCTATTAATAATATGCTAGAGTAGTTATGAGGATTTAATTTGACATCTGTGCAAAATACTTTATAGTTCCTGGTACATAATACTCAATAAACTTTAGCTATGATGATGATAATTTTTCTGTACAGTGAAGATAGTAATTAATATATATTTAATTGAAATTGTTTTTAATCTATAAGTTAATTTAGGAAGTATGACCATCTTAATGGTGTCTTTTTATTTGTTTGTTGTTGTTAATCTTCATCCGAGGATATTTTTCCATTGATTTTTCTAGGCAGAATGAAAGAAAGCGTGAAAGACAGAGAGAAACATTGATGTGAGAGAAACACATGGATTGGTTGCCTCTTGCATGAGCCCTGACCAGGGACCTGGCTGGGGAGGAGCCTGCAACCAAGAAATGCACCCTTGACTGGAATCCAACCTGGGACCCTTTGGTCCATAGGCCGATGCTGTATTCACTGAGCCAAACCAGCTAGGGCTTATATACTTTTTAAGAGTTTTATTTTCTATGTCTACTTCTATATATTTCTCTCTCTATCTCTATCTACCTATTAAAAACTGAGTTCACATTGATACCTATTTCATTTCAACACTCTAAGATTAATTATAGACTTCCTCCTTTTTGTACTTATAGCCCCCTTCTACAACATTTATGCAACTCAGCTCTCATTATCCTCAATATGCTTATTTGTTCACCCTCCTGTATACAACTAATATTCCTCCCACACTGGTCCAGTGTCCCATCTTCTGGGTCTACCACCACATGGCTGTGGCTGTGTCAGACAGAATATTCCCTCCTTTTCATTGCTATTGTAAAAGGAATCCTTTTCTTTTATAAATTCTAACTGGGTTTTGTTTACATATTTGAAATCTGTGGGTTTCATGTTAGTTTTATATCCTGCTATCTTATACAATCTTCTCATTGTTTGAATTATTTTTAATTCTTTATACAGCCTGAAAATAGAATCTGCAAACAAAATGAGTTCTTTCTCTTTACAATTTTTAAGACTCAAATTTTCTTCTCTTTTCTAATTTCATTAATACAATGTTAAATAGCAGTGGTAGTATGCACATTCATTCTTGTATTATTCCTGACTCACTGGGAATGCCTCCAGTCATTCTGTATTATGATGGTGGCTGTTGGGCTGAAATTTGTGTTTGTGTGTGTTTTATACTTTGTAAGCTTTTTATTGTGAAATAATTTTAGAAATATAGAAAATTCTCAAAGATAGTACAGAGAATTCTTATATACCCTTCCCCGAGCTTTCCCTAATGTTAACAACTAACCATGATGCAGTTATAAAAGCAAAGAGATTAACATTGGTCATGTGTGCATTTTTAGAAGTCCTGGTAAGGAAGTATCCATTGATTCTTCTCTTTTAAAAAATTGGGAATGAATGTTCAATTTTGTCAAATGTCTTCTCAGTACATATCCTTATTTTTTCTTTTCACAAATTAATTTTTAAAAATTAACTGTTGAATTCTTTTTTGCTAATATCTTTTTAGAAACTTTAAGATTGGTCTGTAGTTTATTTTTTAAAGCGACTTTATCAGGCTTCAGTATAAAGGTTATTCTTCAAAATAATTTGAAAGTTTTCCTTCTATTTTTTCTATAGAAATTGGTCTATGATAGATTTGCTATCTTCATTGGGGCCAGGTTTGGTAAATTACATTTTTCTAGAACACTGTATATTCTTCTAGATGTTCAAATTTATCTCTATACAGACATGCAAAGTTTTCTCTTAAGATTAAAGTTTCCTGTTATATCATTATTCTCCCTTTATTAATTCTTTGTTTATGTGCTTTTATTTAAGTCAACATGTGACTTATCTGTTTTGTTGGTTTTTAGGCAACAAACTATTTACATAAACATTTGTTTATTTACTTGGTCTAGCTTTTTAAGCTCTCAATAATCAACAAAAACATTTTTTAAGACATAAAAAAATAAACATCTCAATTTGTGAATTTTATGTATAAAAGTTATCACAAACAAGGAATTTTGTTGGAGGGAATAGGAAGACAATCTTTTTCAAAAAAAGCTTTTACTCATTTGGTATGGGAGCAAGTAAACTATTGATAGTTTAAATTTAGGTGGTGGGTATGGAGAATTTATGGAAAACATTTAGCATTTTACAATTCAGTTCTGTTTTCGGACAAACTGGTTTTATCGATAACAAATGTGACTACATGCAATACGATGGCACTTTTCAAGTTAGTCCACCAGCTGAAAAAGCAAAGCATGGACTTCCATAAAGGAACAAGGTGATTCCTAACAGCCCTAGGGCCAGATCGGTAGCTCTTAAGAAAAAGCATTTGAGACGAAAGGAGATTTTAGTACCTTTATTTTCTTAAAAAAAACAAAAACAAAAAAGGTCCCCCAGATATGATTTTTTCCCTTACATCTTCACTTCTTTAAAAATAAATAGAAACAAACTCTTATCTGGAGACAGGTTCCGAGGGGGCAAGCTCAGCGCGCAGGGCGGTGAGGTCAGCCAGCAGCAGCTCGGCGCTCGGCCTCTGCGGGGCCCTGGCCGCCCAGCAGCCCCGGATCACCCCCGCCAGCCTCCTGCCCGGGTCCGAGGCCGCGAAGACGGCGGCCGACAGGGGCGGCCGCAGCTGGTAGGCCACCACGGCGTAGAGCACGTGCTGGCGCTCCCCCGGGTAGGGCACCTCGCGGGTGGCCATCTGCCAGAGCGTGATGGCGAAGGAGTAGATGTCCGCTTTGGGCGTGAGGCTCTCCCCTTTGAGGAGCTCGGGGGCTCGGTGGGTGTAGGTGCCGCCCAGGTGGTGCGAAGGGGCGGCCTGGGAGCCGGAGAGGTCGCCCAGCCTCTCGGAGCAGCCGAAGTCCCCGATTTTGCAGACGCCCCGCTCGCTGATGAGGACGTTGGCGGGCTTCAGGTCCAAGTGCACGATGCTCTGCGCGTGGAGGAAGAGCAGCCCGTTCACGATGTTCAGGGCGTACTTCAGGCAGGTGGACAGGGTCAGCTCCTCTCCTGCAGGACCGTGGGACTCCACCTCCTCCTTCTCTCCCTCCTCCTCCTCCTCCTCGTCCATCTCTTCCTCGGGGGAGCTGGCCGCACCGTAGATGACCTGGTGCAAGGTGACGTGGCCCCCGAACTCCATGATGATGGTGCCCAAGCTGTCCAGGCCCGCAGGCGTGCGCGTGCTGGCAGCCACCACCCCCACGATGTTCTCGTGGCGCAGCCTGGCCACGTTGAGCTCGGCCCAGAAGCTGCGCTGGGACGCCAGGCGGTTCTTGGCGCACCGGTTCACCTGCTTGACGGCCACCAGCGCCCCGTGGTAGGTGGCCTTGTGCACGCAGCCGAAGCCCCCGGCCCCCAGCCTCTGCAGGAAGCGCAGCTGCTCCCAGTCGATGGTGCACCAGGCCAGCCGGCGCGGCAGGCGCGGGGCCCTGGGCGGAGTGGTCCCCGGGATGAGCTTCCCTCCTGCCCTGCCGGGGAGCACCGAGGGGCTGCTGCAGGGCCTGGCGTCCACCGAGGGGGAGAACTCGCCGCCAGGGAGGTAGCTGCGCCGCGGGAGGGGCGAGGGCATGGCCTCTTGCAAGTGGATCCGGAGCAGTGGCTCAGGTAAGGGAAAAGCCCCATCAGTCGGGGAGCATGGCTGCCTGGCTGCCTAGGCCTCTGCTCCGGCCTCAGGGTTTTTCTCCTCTCCCTTCATTTTCCCATTGAGCCCATCTGTGAGGCGGCCACTCAGCAAGGGTGTTGTCTGTCAAGTGGGGAAAGCGATCTGAACGAAGCACAACAATATCTTTCAGGTGGAAGCATTTCCCTTCAACACTTAACAGTGAATTCTTATAACAACCAGCGCTCAGATATACAGCACCCCTCTTTAACACTATTTCTTAATTGTATTAAAATGGGCTCCCCGCCCCCCACCTCCCCCACAAGTCTCATCCGCTGAACATGATCAGTAATGAGACTGAAAAGGCCACAGTACAATTTCACACTCTGCAGGCCATAATGATGGTCCTTAGTTCCTCTCCAGCTGCATTAAGTCACTTCCAGCAGTTATTGGCAGGAGGGATTGAAATAGGAACAGCTGACATTTGTTTATCTGATTACAGGGATAACTAGGTGCAACCTATATATGTGAATTAAAAAAAAACAAAACAAAAACGTAACCTTAAAGTAATGGATCCGAATAGAATCACTGATACAGGCCAAAGCATGCACCTCCTAGTTGGTCACGGGAAAGGAAGTTTCTCTGACCCTCCATTCAGCTTACAGAGCAAATGAGCAAGACTCCTTAGCAACGTATCGACTTCCCAACAATCCTGTTGCATGGCAGTTCAGCCCACCCAGTAAGCACGCTTGCAAGGGAGATTCTAGTCTCCACAGCAAATGAGTTGCAGAAGTCTTGAAACAGCTGTTGGGAGAGGAAAAAAAGAACAAAAAATGATTCAGAGCTACGATCAGAGCTTTAAAGAAAAAACACACAAATATGAGAGAATCCTGGGAGAGGAAAATATCTGAAGAAATAAAATTGACACAGAATTACTAGTGCCTGTATATGCTGTGGGAAACCAGGATGTTGAAATTAAATTCAGGGTCTTGCTGTCCCGCCATAAAATTTTTCATTTCTAGTTGTTATAAAACAAAACAAAAGGGGGGGAAAAAAACTCCCCAATTTTTATTCCATATCTTTGGGAAAAAAAGACCAACAACATTATCCTGTTCATTAAAAATATAGGGGTTAATGTTAGAATCTATATTTAAAAAAATTCAAACGGTAAATTTTATTTTGAATTATTGTACTTAGAGCACGGAGATGATATGTAACCACATTTTTATGATGATAGGTCTATGCTTCTGAAATATATTGGTTCTAAAAAGATATATTAATACACAAGCCCTTTTGAAGTCTATGGAATTCCTATTCTATATCATCTGTCTGCCTTAGTATGTGATAGTGTGTGTAATATTTAACCTGTTTAAGCCTCACTCTTTTCATTTAAGAAATTAGGATAGTCATTATTGAAGTAAACTTTGCTCCTATTTGGAATAAAAGTTGGGTAACCCTGACCAGATTAATAATAGCACAAATCTAAAACATGCTAACTATTTTAGTAGAAATGGCAGTTAAATGAAGTTGTATCAAACCTAAAATATAAAAGAATGGCAGCAGAGTAAACTAAGAAAGCAATAAAATTATACTCTGTCATAAGTACATATTACAAAATTTATTCAATAGTCATCACATCGCTGGGATTATAATTTAGGGCTCTGAACCTGTTCTGTGGTATTAGGAGTGTTGTGAATATTAGCTGACTAAGGGCAAAAGAGTACCTTAACCTCCTCGGTATTACACTTAAGGCAAAACGATGTGATTGGTATTGTATAAGTTACTTTTAAGATATTAGCATAATTAACTTTTCAAGGTTTGATTTTATTATTTACATAAAATATAAGGTATTAATAAAAATGTGGTACTCTGTAGATTCAACCCCCCACCCCCCATCATCTGTCTGGTTTATTTCATTTAGCATAATAGTTTCCAGGTCCATCCATGCTGTAGCTAAAAGTAAGATTTCCTTCTTTGTTATGGCTGAGTAGTATTCCATTGTGTAAATGTACCACAGCTTTTTTACCCAATCATTTACTGATGGGCACTTGGCTCTTGTAAATAATGATGCAAGGAACACAGTGGTGCATATATTCTTTCAAATTAGTGTTTTGGGTTTCTTTGGATATATTCCCAGAAGTGGGATTGCTGGGTCACTCAATCAAAAAAGAAAAAGAAACTAAGATAACAAATAAACAAACCAAAAGAATCATCATCTGCCAATCTGCACAGGAGTATTTCATTGAGTATACATTTTAAAACAGTCTCTGGGGCAAGACGGCCTGAGTTTCTTACTGTCCCTCAGTGTCCACACCTGCTAAAATAAATGAAGAAAATATGCCTACATCAGGATGATTGTCAGGATGAACAGAATTCCAAAGACTGAGATCAGGGCTAAGTAATATCAAAATGCTAATTATGAATGAAACTCATAAACAAACAAACAAACAAACAAATAAAAAACCCCACACACAATGTGTATGGGTTTGAACCAAGAAGAAACAGAGTTGTTAGAAAGTATTGGTTTCAAGTGTACTCTGCCAGGGCTGAGGCAACGCACTTTACTATAAGCTAAACCAATTTGAAGTTTGAGTATTTTTTTGTGCACTTACAGTTAAAAGATCTGTAAGAGCATATTGCCTTATTGTTGGTACAAGCTAAAAATGTGGAGGATTAACACTAATCTGATCACTTGTAATAACCCAAAGGATGGCAAAAAATAAAATTTTTGGAAAATGGGGTAGGCAGTCTAGCCTCGAACCGCAGATGAAACAAAGGAGAAAGAGGGACTGTGTGCACCTACCGAGGGCAAAGGGCTCTCTGGGTCTTAGAGCGAAGGCTTTCCGCTTTCCTTCTGCTCTTTCATTGGCAGCGTGACTGCTGGGAGCTACATCAGTATCAGGCAAACAGCGGCATTTGCCAGGATATGTGACAGCCGATGTCAGAACCCATAGCTCCTGGGAAGAGGGTCTACGCTCACCAAGAGATGCAGGAGCTCTGACTGTGGAGGGGATGCCCCGGGGCGCGGGGCTGGCGGGCTGCGCAAAGGGCGTTCGCGCTGAGCCCGCGCCCTGCGCCAGGGACCAGGGCAGCGCTTGCAGCCGGAGCGCAGCCCGGATTTAGGGGGAGCTTCCCCTGCCCGCGCCCCCAAATGACTGGGGGTGAGTGGCTTCTGGTCAGGCAGCCGGGGCCGACGATGTCTGTCGCTGCCTCCCTGCATGATGCACGGCTCCCCAGGCCTCTGGCCCTGGAGTCTGGATGCATCTCTCTCTTCGCGAACCGCAGTGCGTGGCTGGCCTTGGGGTGCCTGTTTGGGGGAGCCTAGGAGCACGTGGAGAGGGCTGTCACCCTCCAGGGCGATGTGCTGCCTAAGGCCAATTGTGCGCCCAACTGCTGTTTCCTCGCCCTTAGACGTGCAGAGAGTTTTGCTCTCTTTTCATGTCCATTCAGAATCATCACGTAAGCTTTGGGAAGATGTTTTAAAATGCCTTTAAAGTCAGTGCCGTCACAACAACGCACAGAACCCGGCTTCCAGGGGCCACCCCGGCTGCTACTGGGTGGCCACTGCACCTCCCCAGTGGTTTCGGGTTTCAACCCAACTTCAGAAAGCGGGCATGTGAGGGAATACTCGAATTGGAGTCTTTGAAATGTTTCATCACTGTTTACAAGCATAAACTGAGTAGAAAATCCACATTTGCTTTTTTAAATTAAAAAAAAAAACTAAGCTATAAATGAATACATGTATTTTATTAAGATATAAAGGTCGCAGAGTCCAATCTGAAAAATATATATTTTTTTACTTGTTACTGTTGATACTAATCTGAAATTTGAATTTTATATTTAGCAATCTATACTATACTCGTTTCCATGTCAGGACAGCGACTTTTGTCTTTGTAACATAACATGGTCAGGGGAAGATCAAAGTTTCGTGGGGCCTAAAGGTTTACAAATGTGGAGACCCTCTTTAGGAAAAAGATAGAAAAATTAGGAATAGAGGTTTGGGGCCCTCCCTTGGCCTCAGCTCATCTTCCATGCTTACCATGAATCCATCTGGTTGGCGTGGTGGTTGAACTGGTTTTCCTTAAGATGTTTCAGGATACCATAGTCCCAGGGTACATAAAAGGGAAATTAAAATGTGGGGTTGTCTCCAGTGTATCTATGGCAGATGACCATTCACTGTAGTGGCCCAGTACTAATGGAGGAAGGCTGGAAATGCCTTCCTAACCCGTCAACATGGTTGTGCCCATGCTATGTTAACGCAGCCTGAGGAGGAAAAGCAGGAAAAATGTGACTCGGGACAGCAAAAGGCCAGTGAGGAAAGGAAGACACGAAGCTTACAAATGTCTAGTGACTCGTTCTCCAGCCCCCTTTGCTGAATTCAGGTTCCTGGTTGCAACAAATGTTGCCTACCATACCAAATTCTTACAGAAATAAAGATCATGGTCTCAAACTTCGAGACTGTGGTGTACTTGTGATCTGTACACAGAAATAAGAGATAGGGAAGCATACACACACACCAGCGGCTTAACTCCCTGGTCTTCTCAGAATCTTCTAGTTTCCTTGCTCTTTTAATCACTTTTTTTTTGTGTGTGTGTGTGTGGTGTGTGTGTGTATGTGTGGAACCACTATACGGGATTTAATGTAGCAGCTTCAGCAACTCGTTCCTTGGGTAACCCAGAACATTTCTGAAAATCATTCATGTATTTGTGCAAACAGATCATTTATGCCTTCTGTGAAACAACGAAGTGTGTGGAAAGGGGTACCTGCATCAGATGTAGCTGCAGGTACTTCTGGAAGGGATGAGTAAAATCTTCATCTGAGAATTCTCTGGATCCCTTAACTTAGGATGCCGTGAACGCTTACATGTTCTATATAAGTCTTATATCCACGGGCCAAATAATTGGAGGCTGATTTGGGGGTTTATATGTTCCAATTATCATTGACACATTTTAAAAACAGAACCAGGAGAG